TGTCCCACCTATGTGCTAAGGCAAAGCAAGGATGGATTAAAGAGCAACAGATGAGTTACTTATTAAGCTCTTTTCATATTTTTAGTTACGTTAGAGAGCTTCCAGTGGCTGCCACAGAGGCAACAGCTATGGACAATAAAACCTTACGGGCAATTTAAATTCTCTCTCCCCTTAGGAGACGTGGAAAAACGACGACAACTGACTGCTTCCATGTGGCATATATCTTCCTTTCATTAAGGAGGACTCTTTAAACACATACTGCTCTTTTCTATCAGATCGTCACAAACTTTCACAGGGAGGGCAAACAGTTTATAGCTTCCTTTTTCCCACAGCATACTGTAAAAGGACGCAGCAGTCTTGCTTGAGGATCCAATTTTGCTCAGCATGAAGCACCCTCGGAAGCCGAGTGTGCTCGCTGAAAAGTGTCAGAGCAGCAATGGAAATGAATTCCCCATGGGCAACGGAAAAGGAAGCTTTTGCACTTGAAAACTAGAATAGTAGTAACCACATGGTAAAACTGCAGATGCACGTAGCAAGTTACATTTTTTAGGCTTATACCACTCCCATCTGAAATCTGCCCCAAAATTCACCTAATCTGGGGCTTTTTTAGGTTACCCTGAAGCCAGAGATGCAAATCACTCAAGCACTGACATAGGTAAAAAAAGAAAAACATTTCATTTCTTCCTTTCAGAAAGTGCAATTTCCATGTCAAATTTACACTAGCTTGAGTCTCAAGAAGGATAAATCTTCCTCCACGATCATGTTTTGGCTGTTTGCAAACACGAGGTGACAAAAACCTAAAAAGAAGAGCTGCAGAAAGAAGATTCCCCAAATATCTAATGTAATGTAGCACTTCTAGTTAATTTTAGTCATATCTGCATATGCACTTATGCTTGATGTATATATTCATACGGTTTCTACATCTGCAAAATTTAATGTATGCACATTTAAATTTTTCCACTTTTCAAAGTCTTACTAGTTTTTCACATATTTTATATTACAAAAAGTTGGTAAAGTTTTGCTTTCAACTGATGGTTTACACTAGTTTTCCATTTTTTACTAGTAAAGTACCAAAACTCCTGTGTAATACCAGCACATAAAAATACAGACAAATGGCAGAAAAGCATAAGTAAAATAATTAGGAACAAAAGTGTTTGGATTTTGACCATACTAGTAACAAATAGGACTAAGAGGAAAGCCAATGGGCTGTTCACTAAGTGAAACAGAGCAAGGGGAATGTGTGCTGAAATCAGATCTTTTGTAGTCCCATTTTTTCATACTTTTTGGTATGCATCTGCTCTAGTTTGGAAGAAAACATACCAGACACTTAGACCAGATGATCACCAGACATCCCTTCTGACCTCAACTGTTCTGTGATACAATATTTACTAATATTTACTACAGTAAAATAGAGTGATTTTCAACACAATGCCATATAGCGGGAAAACCCAGAATTCCACCCCGAAAGATAGAGGAATCTGCTGAAAACATGCATTCCTCCTTGCCTTACACATCTCTAAGAGAAGCTTCCAGCCGTGCTGTCCTGCAGGGAAGCCACGTGAGCATTTCTTAGTCTACACCAGTCTTATTAGCTGAGTGCTTGGCACAAGCCACTTCATGTGAGACACCACCATTTGGTTCCCTTGAGCTGCCATCCTTATTGCAATTGCCATTCTTACTGCTAGGATTGGAAGGCCCTGGTTGTTAAACAGCTGGTCCTCTCTCTTTTTTTTTCAGTTTTTTCCTTTTTTTTCCCCTTTTTTTTCGTTTTTTTCCTTTTTTTTTCCCCCTTTTTTTTCTTTTCTTTTTTTGCTCTTTTTTACAGCTTTATTATAGCAGGGAGGCAGCAGACTGCTTATATTCCGTTTTTCTCGGACTCTTTCTGAAGTGTGAATGAGCATGTGTGTATGTTGAAGTGATAACATAAGGCTAAGTCACATTCGTAGTAAATATTACTTTAAATTACCCCATGTCATCCTGGAATGTAGAAGTGCACTTGTGCAAAACTAGCTGCCCTAAAAGGGAAGCGGAGCTGTAAACCATCCTGCCTACAAGCCGAGCGTGTCCGCAGGAGAGTCACTCTATAAGGGTATGTTTACAGGTCACTTAAGCCTGCATCTGTGCTGAAACTCACGCTCTAAGTCACTGAACATCCATGCGGCCACCTTGCCTGCACAGGGCCTTTTAGCTGAGGATACGTGGCCTGGGTACAAGCTCATGGTGCAAATTTGAGCCTTTTCATGTATATAGAGTGCATAGAGGCAAACAGCTTTAACAATGCTTAAAATACTCTTCTTTTGACCATATAGCAAGGGCATTCATACACAAGCACTCCTGCAATAGCCACATAAATACCTATGTATCCACAGCAGTAATTACATGTGGGTAATTACCAGTAGGGCTGTTTCTATGAGTAAGGCTGTAAGCCCAAGGAAATGAAAAGTTAGGGTTTTATTTACAGCTTCTTTGCTTTCATCTGCAGGCAGAGCACCTGCAGTGCTGATGGGCATGGAGCACAGGGAAGCAGTGGTACATGGACAGGGGTCATGGTGTCCCTAAAAAGGATGATACAAAGGTCATTTGATCTTCCAGATTTGGGGAAGAGACTCTCTCCGGACTCTGAAATTGCCTCACTTGATAGGGTCCCTAATTTTAGTGAGGAAGCTCAGCTCCTCGGGTGAAGTACACAATCAATCAATCAATCAATCAGTAAATAAGTAAAAATAAAAAGAAAGGCAGTGCAGAGGTGCAGGATGAGATTATAAGTCATTGGTGCTTCAACATTAATCATTAGCAAAATAACAAGGGTCAAGAACAAGAAGCCTCATTAGGAGGAGAATAAAAAAAAGAGAAATAACTGCACTGGTATGTAAAATGCTAGGCTCTTCCGTTGAACACACCCCGCCAGCATCCCCTCCATCAGATGCCCTGCGTGCCGCACCACGCTGAATCTGACCATATGTTTGTAGCTAAGCTATGAAATTCATTTGTCAAGTCCCTGGCGTTTTTGGCAAGATGTCCTGTACTGTATGTGTGGTCTGCTATACTAAAATGGGCATGCAGAGCTTTGCAGTGGGTATGGCCATATGAGCCACAGGCAGCACAGTTGATGCTTTCAATGCTGGGATTTTTAGCGCTGTGTAATAATGAATGGAGATATGGAGGGCTCAAGCTGAAGATGTTTCGGCACAGTTGCTAGGATTATAACCTGCTGAAGGCTATTGGAACGTGCTATAAATACATAGTCAAGCCCCACGCCAACTGTGTAAACTCAGAAGCTGCCTGCTTCATTGAGAGAGTTCATACCAACCAGAGCTGCAACTGGAAGCTGGAACCTGCTACATTTGAGGCAAATCAGTGGCTGGACGAAGTCACATTTTCCCTGTGGAAAGGGATGTGAGAGATGCTGGGACAACGTAGGAGCAGGCGGAGGACAGGGAATTATTTCTTGAGTGTTTTGCTAGGAAACACATAATCGAGAGTTACGGGCCCTCATTAATCACACATTGGAATCAAGGGGTGCCAAATCTCTCAACAGCCCGGAGGCGTTTGAGCCATTTGTAAGCTCTTCCGAACCGAGTCTGAACATGACACATCACCAACTCCAGATCTCAATTCAAATATCACCTTCTTGGCCTGGGAACAGTTGCCTAGTGGCTCTGACTCAAGTTGACTCACAACAAAAGATAAATCTTTCTACTACTAAAACAAAAGGCAAAAAGCTGCTGAGAAATCCTTTAATTCCTTCCTCTGTGTTGTGCAATCCTGAGCCAGTATTTTTTGCAGTGAGGTTGGTGGCATTTCCCTGCCTCCTGAACCAATATCTTTCTTCCCTGCTGGGCAGGTTGCTATGGGCGCTCCTGCCACCATATTTTTTAATACAGCAAACAGGGCAGGAAGGCAGCAGAATTGCCTGAAAGAGACTTCCTTTAAGCTTTCAGTACAGGTAATATGAAGATGAGAATGTTTGTTGTTTTAGCAGAACTAGCTGGCTAAAATACAGGAAAAAGCCAGAATCTCCCTCAATCTAGCAGGATCATCTCATCTCCAGTAGGAACTTCAGCTAACAGGTGTCACCTAACTTTTCCCATGGTGAAAACAAGAGCAATGAAACTACTGTGACCTGGAAAAGTGCTATTATTTGTCCCCCAGCAACTCCACAAAGGCACCTCCAGGTCTGCGCCCTGACATCTCTGCTTCCCCACTAATCCAGCTGCCCACTGAGCTGGATCCTCCGCAGCTCTTCTCAGTTGGTATAAGATCTATAAGCTCAGGTACCCCGACCCTTGACAGTGCACATTTGGAGCCAGACTGAACCCTCAGGAGTGTCCAACTACTTTAGTTTCAAGTGAGGATGGCAGAAGATGCAGCATTCCTCATAGTTCAATCTTAAGTGCATTTCCAATCATCAGAGGGTGAATCAAACTCCTCTGCAAAAGTCCTGCCCTGTGCAAGCAACATTCCGGGAAAACCAGCAGAAGCTTCTCACAAGTTATTTGGAATAAATCCATATTATAACTCTGCCCATCCAGAAAATCATAACAGTGCCACCTAGGAAGGAATTATCCATAAAATTAAAATACATTCCTCACTTTGGTTTGGGGAAAGCAGCAAGTAAGATAAAAAGCAAGTTTTTCAAAGTACATTCCACACTCCAGATTGTGCTCCCATGCAGTTTGGTTAGCACACGATTTCTCAGCAGAAATCTATTTATTTACAGATGGTTTCTAGTGATATAGCACAGTGGTTGCTTCCCACCCTCCACTTGTGTGATATTTAAGTGCTAAATTCTAGAAACCAGTTAATCTCAGCTCATATTGTGAGATGCTCTGAGAAAGAATAACATTCCTTTCTCTTCCACTGTCCCAGAGTCAGCATAGCGAATGGGATAGACCACAGCAGGCTGGTCCATCCCAGGGGATGGGACAGCACCATTCCTACAGCTTAGGACTTGAGCACGATGCCCACATTGCATGGTCGTAGCCCCGAAACACACTCACCTAAGAGCTGCACGCCACGAGTGAGTCCATAGACGTCAATCAGAGCCCAGAGGGGTTCTGCAGTCCTCACCCCGCTGAAGAAGAGCATCGCGGCAGAGTCGTTCACCCGATAGAAAACCCGTCCCTTCTTGTCCACCCAGAACGCTATGATGTTTCCTTCGTTCGCAAACTCTTCTGGCAGAGCCTTGGCCCAGAAGCCACTTTGGGAAACCAAGTCGGGGCATGCGTACTTCGGCAGGGTGTCAGGATTAATCCTGGATGGATCCTTGGAAGTAAACCCAAGTCGGAGAGCCCCACTCCAGCAACACTGCTTTTTAGTGATCTGCAAAGATAACAGCAGCAATAACAGCATTTGGCACTCAAATGTGAATTCACACACCGCAGGCTCCGTGACGTTGAGCACTGAAGGCCACCACAGAGCTCTGAGTGCTCCGTTCCCACAGGACAAGTCCACTGGATTCAAGAAACATTTTACCCATTCATCCCCCCCACCACCAAAATGTTGCAGCTATTTTAAATGCAAGTAGCAATGCTGCACACTTGAAAAAAATCCATGGGGAGAAATGAAATGTAATTACAGCTGCATTATGACTCACTTCTATTTCTAGGGTAATTCCTTTTGGCCTTAGAACTGTCCTCTTACAAAATGTGCCAAGAAATGGCCACATGAACTTGTATCTCAGCTGAGACAACACCTGCAGCAGCACGGACCTCCCCACCACGGTGCTTGGACAGCAGGATTCCCCATGACCTGAGGGAGAAGCACTGGCTTAGAATCACAGTCACCACCGCAGGGTTTTCAGGGTTTCCTAGCCCTATAAAAGGTAATCTTGGCCCTGTTTAGCTTGTCGGATTGGATGAAATCGCAAGTTTTCTGTAGATGAATGGCATGAAGAAAAACACAACTTATGGTATTGAAGAATATTAAATACACAAATAGAAGAATATCTACAATGTCTTATATCTGAGTAAAATCTACTCAGTTCAACAGTGATTGTTGTTTTTCAGGATATGTTGAGGACATCTATACTCGGCAGCATGTGGTACAGCAGCACCAATCCAGCCATGATCTGGGTCCACAATATCTACTTTGTGTCAGCTGATGCACAAAAGATGTTTTTGCTCATACACTGAACCTGCAGCAAACACATGACTGAAATATCCAAGGGCTGGAGAACTAAATGGAGACCACAACCATTGCAACAAGAGCTGCCTAAAAAGGGGTTTTTGAAAAGCTAAATTCATCTATCATCACTGGAGTGATTTTTTTTTTTTTAAGCAAAACTAGTGACAACCTCAATTAACTTCAACCTAGAAGCCTCCCTGAACTGGAAAATGAAAAACATACCCTAGAAACAATGGACACGATCCCATGGCAAAAAAGCTTTATGGCCTAAGTTTTTGGCCACGTCGACCAGCTTCAATAGTGAGGATCTAGAAGAGCAGGCAGTAAACCTCACAGAACCATAACCCCTAACGGAGAGGCCTCCCTGCTGCCCAGCTGTGAAGGACACCGGGGAGGCCATCACGCACAGGGACAGCACTGCGGGATGCCATGCACCTCTGGAGCCTTGAGAGGGGGGACAACACTTACAAGAGGGACAGAGTATACAACAAAGTGTGCTCAGTACCCAGCATGGAGAGCTGGGATTTGTCAGAAGCCCATCCCCAAAGTGAACAGCAGACCTCAGGCCACAGCACAACCACAGGGTTGTCACCTCTGTCACTCACAGCTGTTGGCCTCAGGTCACAGTAAGGAGGATTGCAGAGGAGTCTGTCCTTCCAGTTGGAATAAGATTGCTCATATGATAATTTTTCAGACACATGACATCTCTGGGCACTTCTGTGGATGCTAGATGGCAGCTTCTTGGCTTGGAAAGCTCTCTAGATGTGGAATAACTCAAAGGTAAAGCTATCTTAGAAGAGGATGCAACTAGAGGGGAATGAGGTGTTTTCCAAACATGACCAGAGAGGAATTGCACAGATGGACTTCCTCTGCAAAAGGCTGGTTGCAGCTCCTCATGTCCCGGTCTGGAAGCACAGGGTTTTCTACTACCAGGGATTCTTCGAGACATGATTTTTTGGACTTCTGAATTCTCTTCTAGTAACATTTATAAATACTGCATTATTCTTTCACATGTTCCTCTGCAAGGCAAATCCAGAACGCATGCCCTTATGGGCATAACAATCTCACAGCAAAGACATTGTTTAAAGCCTAGAGATATCTGCTTTATAATTAAAGTATCAGAGAAAACACCTCAGGGCTTAAAACAAAACAAAACAAAAATCTCTCAAAAGACAGACTGTTTTGCAGTTAAACAAGTGTTGTTCTTTATCCCTTTTCATCCTAGTCAAACATCTAAATGATTTACACCAATCAATACGAAACATTTTAGAATTGTCCTCAGTCCCAGGAATCCTGAGAAGCTCCAGCATGTGGGATGGACCCTGGGGTGGCACTGAGAGGACTGATTTGATGCATCTCATCTCTGGACAGGATAGGATGGGATCGTGCACCTTCCCCCAGTAGGAGAGGGGTAAATGGGGTGTGCACGTGCCAAAATGGGGTATAAACATGAACTCCAAGAGGAAGCCTGGATTATTTATTGTAGCAAATACACTGCAAATCCTAAAAGCTCCTGGGACTGAGATTAATATAGCCTCATTGTTATTCGTACAAGTTACTCTTGCACAGTCTCTTGCCAATACTTTACAGCAATCACAGTCCGTATGAAGTAAATATTCATATGGTAATCTAGGCTGCACATGTTCCATGTATTAATCAGCACCTATAAACAAACAGTTCTCAACACAGTCTGACCACAGGCAAACTAATATCCAAATTAAAATTGAGTGTGATGCCTGCCAAGAATTAGACACAGCTGGACAAAGGATACACAGCTTTGCTAAAAAAGGCAGTGGTTAATGATGGACCAAATTCTCTATTCAGCAACCACTGCTAGGAGAAAAGCTTGGGAGGTCCACTGGGTACCAGAAGGGAAGGAATAGATGCACTCCTCATCCAAACTGGCAAACCACAGCTGATTACAGAGATTCGGCTCTTTACAGCCCTGTATTACCTTTGACAAACTCCCACTCCACCCCTAGCTGTGCCCCAGTCCCATGGAAGAAACCACACTGCTACCAACACCTCTGAGGCAGTGAAACAGCAGCTCTGGCTACTAGATGGGATTCCCAAAGCAACAAAGAAATGTCAGAATAAACCTCCAAATGCAACAAATAATAAACTGAATGAAATCTCAAGATTTCTTTCCTCTGGTTTTCAAAGGGAGTTTAGACCTTAAAGAACCCAGATGACTGGGCGCATGGCTAGTCTTTACATGGCGAGAAACACAAAAGGTTTAACATGCCATTTTTTTACAGGCACAAACAATAACAAAGCATATGGAGGAGGGACTCAGCAGAAAAGCAAAAGCATTTCCATCCATCCACAGAGCACAGCTTCTGCTGAAGCCTGTTGATTATTCACTTGAGACCTCCCCTTTAGATTCAGCAGAAGCTCTGCTTGTAAATCCCTGGTGCACAGATGAAAGATCTGCATGCATATTCCTCACATATGTTATGCAAGCTAAAATCCTAAAATACACAGTGATAAACAAGTGTGAATTTTCCTGGGATGGTTGCATTGTTTCAGCATGAGGAAGAAATAACCCAGAACCTTCATCTACAACGCTAAACCCACGCAAACCTTTGATGGCATTTTCAAAAACAAAATGCTGCTTTCATCACCTCTCAAATCAATTTTCCACAGTTGCTTGTCCAAACTGCTGGCCAGCATGGAAAAAATCCCATTAGACCATGTGAGTTCTTCTGGTTTCCTAGTCTGGATAGAGACAGGAAGAATTCTACAGGCAATTTAATTCAACCTGCAGGAGCATTTTTCCCCCTGTGGGTCTGATCCTGAAATCACTGAAATTTCAGTGCATTTCCAGAAGAAGTTACATTTGGGGTGCTGGAGCAAGTGCTCGGGCTTTTACCACCAGCACCCTGGGACTGAGAGCATGGAGCTGATCTGAGGAGGCTGGGACAAGTCATGAATATCTTCAGAGGTGAGACATGCTGAATAAGAGGTTCTGTAGCAAATAAAACAAACTTGGGGGGATAGTTAATGCCCCATACTTTGCTTCAGTTTACTTTTTCTCCCTTTTTTTTTTTAATTCATCTTTCCTTCCCTTTTCAGTCTGTACTCTTCCCTTCTACTCTTTGGAGTCCTTTTCCTTACCTCCACTTTCCTGCATTTCTCTGCACTGTGGGTTCTCCCTTCCATCTCCCCCGTGTCCTTCATTAATGCCTTGCCTATTCCCTGCTATTCTCCCAGATTTTTTTTTTCCAGGCGGCTAAAGCCATTGGTGGCCTCATCTTCCTTCTTTCTTGCTCTAGTTCCTGGCTACAATGAAAGAGGAAGAGAAGGATGAAACTCTGCCACAGCTCCTAGTGCTCTGGTGTCTTGAGTGATGGGCAACAGGAGGATCATTCAGATGCTATATGTGGATAAATCTATTGGAAAACTCTTGTGCAAAGCAAAGAATTTGCAGGTAGATCTTCAGTGCGTGCCACAAACTAAACACTGCTGAAGAAAAACACCCACGTTGTACCAATGAAAAAAACGGGATCAGCTTAAAGTGATTTTTGCAGTCCTGAAAATATGGGGGCACAAAGATTAGAAAATCTCTGCATGAATTGCAAAGAGCTCCAAGTTCCTTTAAAGCGCTGAGGGCCTAAAAATGTGCTGAGAGCCTAAAAGGTGGCCAGTTCCTAAGGAGACTGATGAACTTCCTCCACTGGAGGCAGCTCCCAGCAAACACCTCCAAATGTACATCCTGCTTTCAGAGGGGCTGAACTGCCTCTGGACTGAAGCTAAAGGGGCACCACCTCCATCCTCTTGGTTGTAACAGACACAAAGGACATAAAACCACTTGAGGTCTGCGAGAAAAACACGATGCCCGCAATGTTCTTTCCTTTGATCGAAATGCAATCAGCAGACTGATTCAACAAAGCACTCAGCAGCTGCTTAAAAGAACCTTTTCTTAGAAGGCAACTGTGTCCCTGCTGACCGCTCCTTTCAGCCTTTCGTCTCCTGTGCCAAGTTCACAAGCTGTTTGCCTTCACCTTCAGGTCCTTTCTGCCTACTTCTCTCTCCTCCATTTGCTGCGGAGAGGCTGATTCCCAGCTCCCCAAGTCCAGGCCTCATTGCTGTCTTGTTTGAATGCTCCTTCAGCCAACCCAGACCACTAAAACTCTGCCACATGATGTATGCAAAGTCTAGGCAACACGTGGCTAGTGATAACTGAGGCTGCTGCCTCTCAGGCTGACCAGTACAGCTCTTTTTATTGTGTTTTCCACCTAACCTCAGCTTACCCTACTGTTCCTCTCTAATACCTAGGTGAGCTTTTTTGAAGTACAGTTCACTCCTTTCTTCCCAGTTTCTACATAGATTTGTACTGATGGCTCCAAGAACTACGGTGGTGAAAGCAGGAGCACCAAAGACTGCAGATCTTTAAGGATAAGATCCAACTACTCCCTTTTCAATGAAGGGAGATAGATAGATGTGGTGCAAGCACCAAAACCCGCCACACCTCAACATTCATTCACAACAGCCACCATTTCAATAGGGGAAAATAATATGTACTCACCTTAAGCCTGACTTGTTCATAGATAACGATGGGCCTGTTGCTGAAGGTAATGGCATTGCAGAAGCTAGCCTGGCGCTTCACTGCCTTCTGCGTCGTGTCCATGATGATCTGGGATCCCTTTGTGTGGGGATGGAAAAGCAGAGGGCTGATGGACAGAGCTGCACACTGCGGGATGGGGAGACAGTGCTTCTGCTTGTGGTGGCATCGGTGAGAGGAAGCTGGAAACGAGCCACCTATGGAATCTGAAAGCAGAGGGGGAAGGGAAAGGATTTACAATCTGCAGTGAACAATAAGTAAAAAGAACTCTCAACGCAAAAAAAAAAAAAAAAACAGGGATACGTGATTCAGAGTGAAATAAAAGTTTGCAAATCCTTACTGTGTAAATCACTGAATGTTTCTCGAGCATCTTAAGCAATAAAAGGTTATCATGACACCGAAGGCTCCTATCTGGACAGCCTGACAATACGGAGCATGTCACGAGGAACACGGCTCAGCACCTGAAATCGCAGCCCATACTGAGACCACGCAGCGAGACAGAAATCAGCAACCAGTTCTGAGAAACAGACCAAAGCACATACGGACATGACATATCAAAGCTCTCACATTTATGTGAAATATTCCATTTCTGGAAGGTTGCACCACCCGACCTGCAGGCACACTTGCTCCCTTCCCTCTGCTTCTCCGTCGTGGCAGCAGTCCTGCCAGTGCTTGTCTATTTTTGCCTTTAGATGCTCCATATCCACCCTCACTGGCTGCCCCTTTAAAGACTTGCACTGCTGACTTGTACTCAAGCACAACTCAGGGACAAACCCACCGGGCTTCCTCCACCAACCACTATCGATCCCCTTAACTCCTCCACCGACCAGAATTCAGCTGAGGTCCCACTTTTCATAAAGTCACTGATCACCACACCAGGATCAGGACAGGAAAATGCAGCAGGAGAAAGGGTACAAGCAGGGAGGAGATTAGGTCTTTGTCTAACCAAGGCTCTATACAGTCAACAAACACAGGCACGACAGCAGCTTTGCTCATGAACGAGTGGATTCGTGGCTTTCTTCCCAACCAGGCACCTGCAGCAGCTTAAACACAAAACAGTCATTATACTGAATGCCAATCACCTGCTTCCTTTTCCTCGGGTACATATGCACACCATATTCCACACGTGTGTTTGGAAGGAGATACGCATAGATCTGGAGTCAGAGTACCACCAGCACAAAGGACTATTTCATGAAAGGCAAAGGGATGCAATAAAAACAGATGTGACCTTAGCAACGTGTCACGTTGTCCTGTGAAGATGTATGACTCAACCGTATGTTTAAAACTCTGTTCCTCAAATGCACTCATTATATACACTAACTTCTATGTAACACATATATAAACACATAGTTGTTATATTCTTTATTCAGATTAATTGCTGACTATTACAGATTAATGCATACACCTCTAATACAATCCTTGGAGGTAAAAATATAAAACCTAGACCCTATTTCTCCTAACCTTTGGGGTAATTTAAGTCTGTAGCTGTAAGAGGTTGCACGATCGATCATCAGTATAAGCTTGAACAAACACAAACGAAAGGTAAGCCCTTGTTTTCCAATGGGAATATTTTAATTCGGCTTCAACACCAGACATCGTAGAATCATAATGGTTACAAAAGACTTTCAAGATCATCAAAGCCAACTTCAATATCTGTAGCTTCTCCAATCGTCTGAGGTCACCTATGACTTATGTAATTGTGGATTCACTGATGCCCTGAAGAGCAGAAGGTAAAGAAGGTAAACATCCAGGGAAAAGTCTTCCATTCTTAACTTTTCCAACTGCTCTAAAATAAACAGGAAATGAGTCACTATTTCTGATATGTCACATATTTATGGAATATAATCAATTGTTTTTGATAATTTAAAATTAAGGAAACCATAGCCAAATAGGAATAACTTTTTTTTTCTGATAACTTCTAATTTTGCTTTTTCATCTTCCTCTCTCCCATAGTTTTCAAAGGTGCACAGATGTGAAAGAGAAAGAGCAGACAGGGAATGGAATATACATTCATTTCACGTTATCTTGCCTGCCAGAAACAGCCCACATTAATTTCAGAGCCTGACTTCAGAAAATCAGGGCTGTGCAGATGCAGGGAGATCCAGCTTGGCAGAACCGACTGTATGAAAAACCACGCACAAAACCAGGTAAAACCCCCATTTCTGTGACTGCTGCGACCAGCTCCCACGCGGCCCCCTCTCTAGGGGCTCAGCTCCCCTTCAGCTCCACGCTGGTCACGAGGGCTGCTCCCCTCCACTGCTCAGCCAGGTTCACGCTTGGAAATCTCCATCCCGACTTTCTCCTGGCTTTACCTTTGGCAATTTTGGCAAAGCCTTTCTCATTAAAACCGGGAACGCTGCACGTTATATTCCAGAGAGCAACACCACCACGCTGAACTGCAAACCCCACACAGATCTTAAGTATGTTCTGTGAAAAATTTTTACTTTTCCATAGAAACACTGCAGCTGATAGCAGCAGCCAAGACAAAACCTGCAGTTTGAGCTCTAAGTGACACGTGTAAGTGGAAAGATTCCAGTTATAAACATGCTGGCACAATCGTATGGACTACAAGCCAAAGGAAAATCAAGCGGACTCTCCTGCGGACCCACTTTGAATTGGGGTTTTAGGCTGAAGCCACTAAAACTCTTAAGTTTTCTCCATTTTTCCTCCACACTTTCAAGCAATGCCTTTCAATCCAGATGTGACTTTTGCAGCTCAAACGTTTTGCTAGCAGTAATCACCAAATCAAACATCTGCAGCAGAGACTCACACACGTTTTAGCTCGTGTGCCTGCCTCACTGCTTTGATTTCATGGATACCTGGGCTGTGACTACAACCGGTGCCACAGGACCACACGCTCGTGCACCACGGCGCGAGAATCGGGGCCTCACCAACCCCTTCACAAGCTGCAAAGCCACGGGCCCGACACGAAGGCAGGAACACGGAGGGCACGAGCTCAGCTGCCTACGGCTGGACTTGGGCAAGGGGAGGATGCTTCAGAAACACCGGCTCACAAGCGACGTCGCTGTCCTAGCTTGGCCTGCTAAAAATAACATAAATCCTCTGCTTACAGACTCTGTTCACTCTGAGGCCAGTCTTCTCCCATTCCCTCATTTAAATTACTAAAAATTCTGACCAGCAGGAGGTCTACAAACAATTTTCTTTATACAAAAGAGTTGAGCAAACTTCACAAACTCAGATTTTCTGTTGGCAAAATAGAGAAAAGACCTTTGGCTTCAGGGATCCCATGCAAGATTGCAGGAACTGAGCCTCTCTCCCAGACATTCTTGCACAATCTGACTTATCACTTACCTGCAGAAGAGAAGGAAAGTGACTGCTCAGAAATAAAATTTGCAAACAAGGGAGCATTTGAAAGAAGGTTGAAATCTAAGCTCCTGGTCAAGGGCACTGCAGGTTTCCCACTCCACAACATGGCTGTAAAACCAGGCGGACAAAAAAACACTTCCCGCCGGCGACCAGGAGCTGCAACGACACCGCAGTACCACGCGGACAACCTGCATCTCGCCACGCCACAGGACAACAGCCACAGAGATATCCCTCTGTGTCAAATCTACAGAAATACCACAAACTTCCATAGGGTTGGGCTTACCCTGTGGTCCCAAAGAACAACAACCGCCCATTCTCAAAGTTTCAAAGATTATATAGACTTCCATTTTCAAATCACACTCAGTAACAGATGCTGCCCCTGTTATCACAGGCTCCAAGGAGGACAACGTTGTCACTGACCCATCTGCTCCCCCAGCTGCAAGCACATGGGCCAGATCCCCTGAAATATTTAGTAAGCCAAGGCTACATGAATCACAACGTGGAGCCCTCTGAACCTCTTTGTCTTCAGTGTTCCACTCCCAAACACATCCTTTCTGCAGCCCTTTTGTTCAAGAAAGAAGAAATCTGCCCCCAAAATGGCACACCTCTCCTTCCACACATGGTTGCTGTCCACGTTCTCCCAGATCCTGAGCCCTGAGCATGATCGGAGTGCTTTATAAGAGACAGCACAGGAGCACTGGATGTTCTCAGCTTAGTAAAATGCATCTCAAAGCCTGTTAGGGCTTTTCGGCAGAAGCGTTCATGCTCTGTGAAAATGAGACATAATCTTCAAGGCTTGAGATTTCTTAAAATGCTGCAGAAAGTGACTGGATTTCACTTTTTTAAGACACTTTTTACACTTGAAGAAATCTTGATAGGCAACCTGTCAGAAAGCAGTCAAAACTCATTTCAGACTGAAAACTAACTGCAAGGTATCAAAGATGAATTTCATGGAGCACGTGAAACAAGAGGCATCCAGAAGTGATCGCAAAGGAGAAGACGACTTCAAAATAGAGTCCAGAGACAGTCACGCCGTGAGCAAGCGGGAAGGCAAAACCCACCTCTGTCTGGAGAGGAAGAGAAGAGAGTGTCTGGGTGGCGGTGGAGGTGAGCAAGTCCCGCAGGAGACTCATGGTGAAAAGAACAGATAGGGCAAAACAGCTGTGAGATGACTCCTGTAAGCCTGCCTGCTTTTTGAGTTGGTCCTGTATTTTGGGGAACTATGACAATGAGATACTCAAAGGATTGATGCAACTGATTACACTGATCCTTTTAATTTAATAATAAAGTTCAAAAGGAGAAAACCACAACAACTCCTACACAAACAATTCCACCACGGCAAACACTAAGCTTTGCAAATGAATTCTTAAAAGCGCACTCCAAGATGCAGTTTTCTAAAAATAACTATTATCTTAACACTGATGGAAACACTAACAGGGTTCCAAATCCCACTTTCCCACATGCAGCCTGACCCAGGGCACAGGAGACAGAGAACCGCAAATTAGTGTAAACAAAAAACAAGGGCTTTTACATTGCTTTTGCAATTCTGTTCTTGCTGTGCTTGAAGGAATAAGTAATTGTGTATCCCCAGCCTATACCCAACTCTCCCTCCTCCTATCTCTATGACGATGGCCCTGCTTAGATCTCTGCCATCAATGTTCTTACCAGGACACAAAGCTGCCCTCTTCTACAGTGAAAGGCTACAGCTTTGCAGCTCTAACCATGTGCAGCCACGGAAATGCAAAGGGTTAATTCTGGAGCATTAAATCCCCTCTACCTGAAATCATGGAGCATCTTGAGTTAAACTCAAGTCAATTAGGGACTTATCTACAAGGTGGAGCAGAGCCAGCAGGTCAGATCTAGCACTCCCATCCAAGAC